CGTACTTAAGCTGGAATAGTTCTGGGATGGGTGACCCACTAGAAAGAACAAATCCATGCAGGCGTGGCCCAGAGTGGACAATATTGATGACATGTGAAGGGTTGGGGCGTTACAAATGGTATCAGAGTCGACTCTCCAGAGTACCGAGTGTGGGCCCTTGGCTTCTCTCGGTGCATGTGGGTGGGCTTGCGAGCTGGCAAGCTACTGCACGGGGACATGCGGCCTTATGGGGGGTGGATTGTAAGGCCCCGGTGTCCCACATCGAGAATGGAGGGGGAGTTCATAGGCTATAAAAGTAAAAACCTAGACCCTTATATAGCATCGAGGCCTTTTCCCGGGTGGTGAGATCCTTATTAGAACTCCCAAATTAAGCGTGCTTAAGCTGGAGTAGTTATGGGATGGGTGACCCATTGGGAAGAACAAATCCATGCAGGCGTGGCCCAAAGTGGACAATATCGATGACATGTGAAGGGTTGGGGCGTTATATTCTTGGTACAGATGCTACAATTCCATTGTAGCAGAAATGACAACACTCTACAACAAAAGAAAAAGAGCATTTATACTTGGCAAAAAGGAAATGAAACTCAGAAACAGTGATGTGAGGCTCATTTTTGGTATCGACTATGGAGAAGACAACATCACCACCAAATCCTATGCAAGACCAAAGGATTTTGAGCTCGCATTTTACAAATGAAGATGCAAATCAGTAAAGAGATTGGATAGCAAGTCATTGACCAAAATGTTTCAACAAACAAAAAAAGGAAAATCAACCAATGATCGTCAAGATCTTGCAAGGGTCATCACCCTTTACTTGTGCCTAAAACTTCTCATGCCTACAACAGGCCATACACTCATTGGAGTTTCCTCAACGATGTTGACAATCTCAACAACACCAAGAAATACAATTGGGTTGAGGCAATAAAAGACACACTGATGAATTCAATGGCAAATACAAACAACAACTCAAGGCATGTCACTGGATGCGTCATGTTACTCTTGGTAAACACACTTCTCAGCTATTTCACACAAAAATATCAAACATCCAACTATTTCGAACTATCTAACATATTTCAATTTTTTTTTCATAGTACTGGTACTGTGAGCACAGTAAGCTCCTCTGACCATCCAACAAAGAAGGCTTCCCAAGGTTTATGAAGTGGAACCTTGGAAAAATGTACTCCAAGTGGAAACATATCAACCTTCCTGACTTTGAAAATGTATTTAAACTCTTCTATACTCTCATAGCACAAATTTATTCAACACTCCTTTCACAGTCATTATAGTAACAATCATGTTATGAAACTGTAAAAGTTTTCAGTTTCAAACAACATATTTTCAATACTTAACTCACATTACTCACAATACAAATCATATTATGAAACTGTAAAAGTTTGCAATTTCAAAGCACATATCTATTTAACACTCCTATCACTCATGTTATGAAACTATAAAAGTTTGCAGTTTCAACACACAAATCTATTCAACAATCTTTTCACATTGATTACACTAACAATCATGTTATTAAACTGTAAAAGTTTGCAGTTTCAAACAACATATTTTCAACACTTAACTACATTACTCACAGTACAAATCATGTCATGAAACTGACAAATTTTACAGTATTACTGATATATGCCATATTGTTCCAATGCAGGTTGACCAAAGTGCTTTAACCCAAATGGAACAAGAAATACAGTTATTGCATATCAATCAAAGCACATCAATAGACTCTTCAGTAAAGAAACATGACCACAAAAAGGACAATAAGCGGAAAAAAACAAACAAAAAAAAAAAAAAAAAAAAAAAAAAAAAAACTTCTAGACAGTGATGAGGGCGACTTTTTTGAAGAAAAACACCAATCAGAATTAGAACAAGAACAACAACAAAAAAGAAAGAAAAGAAAGCAAGAACCACAAGAAGAAGCAGAAAGTGATGAACAAGAAGAAGAGAGTGATGAAGAAAGAAAACAAGAGACTGAAGAAGAAGAAGAAGAAGAAGAAGAAGAAGAAGAAGAAGAAGAAGAAGCTGATGAACAACAAGATAATGAAGAAAAAAGAAGAAGAAGAAGAAGGTGATCAACAAGAAGACACTGATGAATAAGAAGGCCAACAACAAGAACAAGAAGAAGAACAAACAAACCAACAACAAGAAGTCAATGAACAAGAACTGACAGACTAACAACAACAACAACATGAAAAAAAAGAACAAGCAAAACAACAACAAGAAAAAGGATAGAACAACAAGAAGAACTCCAAGAGAAATCTGACATATTTTTTGCACAAGGTAAACTCTTGTCTAATGCTGAACTAAACTGCAAAATTTAATTAAACTAACCAAAACAAAATCCAACATTTTTATAGGTGATGACCAAGTACAAACATCAACCAAAGAGGACGACAAGGACAAACTCATAGCAGTCATGAAAGCACAAATACAAGAAATGGAACAAAAATTCATAGCTGAATTGCGTAGAAAAGAAGACCAGTCGAAGGAAATATCTGCAAAAAAAACTGGAAGTCCCCAACAAAGATCAACGGTCAAGAGAATTAAACAAAAGTCAAGAAAACAAGCACATAAGCCAGATTTTGAATACCAACCAATGACAAAAGTCAAAGAAGATACAAGGAACAAGACAGAAGCTGCTGCTAATGTATCCAAACCAACAGAGGGTACTGATGAAGAAAAAGAGAAGAAGAATGAAAAGAAAAAAGAAGAAATCAAAACAGAGAAAGAACCTGCTACTAAACCCGAGCAAAAAGAGGGTGCTCATGAAGCAAAACAGCAGCGGAAAAAAGAAGAAGATGAAAGCAGATATTGACCAAGAGAAAGAAGGTGCTGCTAAAACCAAGCCAAAAGAGGATGCCAATCGAGAGAAAACACAAGTTCAAGTATTGGAAAGTGATGATGATTTCAAAGAAGAATCAATCCACAACAAGCCACTCGCCATTTTATGCGGCAAAAGAAACAAGGTTTGGCATAGCCTATCCAAAAAAGACCAAGACCAAATTCAACTCATCAACAACACACAACAAGTGCTTGTGTCTGGTTTGGCAGCGAAGATGAAAATTGCATATACTTTTCAGATATATGCCGATTGACCAACAGGGAAGCCTTATATGGAAATGTAGGTCTCTAACTGCACAATTTTACAGTTTATGTTCATATTCAATAACCTATTCCACAAACCTAACACATTTTCATATATAACATGTTTCAGGTCATTGATGCCTTTGCAGAAATGAAATTGGCACTCCAACCATCAATTAAAGAATTTGAGAAACATGATCTAGCATTTGCAAGAAATTCATACGCAGGAAGATCTTACGTTTTCTCAACACTCATCAATGTAAACAAAACTTAACATACCTTTTAATATTATTCAAACTGCAAAATTTTCTACTTTCTTAACATGTCTTACTACATACTTTTATAACATATTTCAAACATATATAAATTACAGACTTCACTACAAAACCAAGATCAAGCACTGAGAGAAAAAATGATAGACAACCAGTTTCTAGAAGCAATGAAAAACAGATATATCCATTTCATAATCAACCACGACAACCATTGGACAATTATAGTCTTTGACAATACTGATAGGATATGGAAGCACTATGACACTTTGAGGCCAGCAAAAGCTTGCCACAACAAGCACTTTGAAATTACAAAGGAAATTGTAAGTTAAATAAAATTTCCTGCTTAGTTCCATTGCTTTCAAAACATGTTAGCACATCACTATAGCTAACAAAAACACCCACTAACTATTTTGTAGCAACAACATCAACTGAGATGGAATAAAGCATTATTCAGCAATCAAGGAAACATGTTATCATTTCAAGAGTGTAAGACAGTAATTGCATCAATTGAGGAATGCCCACAACAAACCCCACACTCGTAAGATACAAACTTAATAACTAATGTTCCAATATGCTAAATTTTGCAGTTTTACCTAACTAATTAACTTCATCTAAAACTTTGTAGGAATGATTGTGCAATCGCCGTCTGCAATGCTATCAACCAATATATCAACTGGCATCCTGTACAGAAATCACTTCGACCAACTGAGTGGGTCAAATTTCGAGCAGAAATCTCAGTCAATTCCTCAATGATAAGAACTGATCTTTGAAACTCGAGCACTACAAAATGTTGACAAAACATACAAAACCATAGAAACAATGAACAAACTTCTTGACATTACAAATACTCAATTGAACATATTTTTGTACTTTTTAAATTTTTTTTTTTTTTACATGTGACAAGTACTTTTTATGTTTTTGGGAATTGATCTTCTTGTGGTTATTATGGTGAAAATGATTGTTGTCATTGATATTGTTGCTATTTTTCTTCTTCTTATTATTGTTCTTCTTCTTCTTGCGCTTATTATTCTTATTTGTGTTCTTTTGCTTATTATTGTCATCACATTTGTGGTTGCATATATTTTCATACAGTAAAGGTTGTTTATAATAATTCTTCAAACTGCAAAAATATGCAGTTTCATCAGGTTGTTTTTAATAATTCTTAAAACTGTAAAATTATGTAGTTTCATCAGGTTGTTTCTCATAATTCTTAAAACTGCAAAATTATGCAATTTCATTACTCAGACAAAAATTATGCTACATAATTATGCATCCAATTTCATGACTCAACAAACAGATGAACTGCATTTCAAAATTGAAAATAAAACTGTAAAATTTTACAGTTTTGTCACTACGAAATATGAAATAAATATATCATGCAGTAAAATTGCATTTCAAGATTATACAGTTTCAATAAGAAATTTTTAACAACCTTCTCAACATTCCACAAAAATAAAACCAACCAAATCTACCAAAAAAAAAAAAAACTATTACAAAACAACTTCAATAACTAAAGAACACTTCAAAAAAGAAAAAAGAATACAACCAACTTTATTCATTACTTCCATAATATCAAGTATTACATTTTATTATCATAATTCCTCAATTTCAAATACAAATCCAAAAGAATAGACTATGGTCTCAAATAGCAGCTTTGCACGTCTTTTTATTGTGATTCCCATATTTCAAGCACCTCTCACACTTGATTTGCTTCACATTCTCACCCCTAGAAGGTATCATCTTCTTCTTGTTCCGCCTGGGCTGCTTCTTCGTTATAGGAGGTTTGATAATCGAACTACCGACACTATCAAAATCAAATCTCTCACTTAAAGGCACTAGATAAACAGATTCCTTGTACGACTTTCTAAAACAATCCACATGAAAAAAAGGATCAATGAAATCATACACATCTCTACCACTACTACGTAAAGCATGCACAACATGACAACAAGGAAAACCATTCAATTGCCATTCATGGCAAGAACAAGTCCGTCTACCAATATCAATATAAAAAGAAGTAGAAGAATGAATCTCAAGCACAGTATTACTAGCAACAATCACATCCAAAGACTTAGCTAGCTTCAAAGAGTCCACCAACTTCTTTTTCATAACTGGACAAAATTTGGTAGTCCATCTTTTAGATTCAGCACTTCTATTAAACAATTGAGTTATGATTTGAATCCTAATTATATCAACCATACAAGTAATAGGCAACTTACGGGCCCTACCAATCCAATTATTGTAAGACTCGGCAACATTAGATAACATCTCACCATATCATTTCCCTCTAAAAAATGCATTGGCCCACTTATCATTCAGCAAACCATTCAACATACTATTAACTCTACCATTCCCAACAATGCGGCTCAATTTCTCCATATAATGTTGGAAAGAAGTAACAGTTGACGCATAAACACATTTAACTAATATTTTCATCAAAGTCAGCTTATAGTTAGTACGAAGTCCCACCAATTTGTCAATCAAATTTCTCTTCAAATGATTCAAGCAATATGCATGATGTGCATTGGGAAAAATCACTGAAAGAGCGTTTAGCAATCCATGTTGACGGTCAGACACAAAGGTCAATCTCTGGCCTGAATCAACAGCCTTTAACAACTGACTTAAAAATCATATCCAATTATCTTGATTTTCAGCATCAACAATCGCAAAAGCCAAAAGAAACGGGCTTGAAAACAAAATAACATGAACTGCAAAAATTAGCAGACTCACAATACAATAACAAAAACCAAAATCCACCAACTACCAAAACACACTGACAAACCAAAACTATACTAACTGCAAATAAATACATACCTTGATTACCATCCTTTGATGTTGCTGCAAGCAAATGCCCTTTGTAACGCCTCTTCAAGAATGTACCATCAACAAACAACAATGGACGACAAAATTGAAAGACATACAAACATCTATGAAATGCAACAAACAATCTCCGAAAACACCCACTACTTTTATCCACATCTAATTCAAACACACTTCCAGGATTTGTTCTCATACCCGTCTTAAGGTACCATCGAAATTGGTCAAAAGAAATTGCAAAATCATCAAACAATCCACCTCTTGCCTTATCAACTCCTAACCATACAACCCGATGAGAAACATCTATACCATATTGCTTCTTTAACTTTTTTTAACTTCAATAAGACGAGTCAACGGATTATCACTAATATCATTATGTACAATATCAGACATAAGTCTAGGACTAACCATTTTGTTACAAGATCTACGAGCAACAACCCCACAAGTATGCACATTATCCAACTTCATAATAAAAAAAATACCGGAATTCATTAACACCATTCCATGCACAAACCATTTACAACTCGTAGACGACTTCATCATACATTTAGCAGTTACTCTTGTTGCATCGTTTTTTAAATAATTCACTATAAAACCACACTCAATTGCATACTTAGCCAATGCAATGCGGAACGCCGGCATTCCACCTTCAAATTCTTGACCAACACTGAACTAGCAGACAACAAAACTCTCTCTGGTTTTGGATAAAAACTAGGCAACAAACCACCAAAATCATCACAATCGTTTACTAAAGAACTCTCACAAATTACAGAATCAATCCTAGAAGAATTATCATCAACCTCCACAATTCTCTTATCACCCACAATAACATCAACAACATAAGAACCACTACAACTTACCATTGACATCATATTCTCCAAATCATCATCACATTCAACAATACAATTAGAATATTCAAGAATAGAGAAAAACAAATAAAAGTTACCAACACTCAACTCCTTGAACTTCGCAGCTATTTTCTCAACAACTTCATGATAATTACATCCCTCACTAATCTTAATTGCAGCACAAGAATTATTGTATTTGCACATTAACATGAAACACCCCTCCATATTACAAAATCATAAGCCAGCAAACAATTGTTTACAGATTCCAAATTGTAAAATTATACAGTTACAACACATCAGTATCAAAACTTCACAATTCACAATTCTAGACTGCAAAATTATACAGTTACAATGTATCAGTATCAAAACTTCAGAATTCATAATTCCGAACTACAACTTCAAAACATATTACACTATACAACAAACAAAATCAACAAAATCAAAATCATTACATTATATCACATACAAAAATCACAAAATAAGTATCAAACAAATAAAATTTATCACAAAATAAAGAACTATAACAATATTGCCAAACACAAACTAGATATCATGCAAATTTGCTTATGTATATATATACATATATTATTATTCTCAAGACAAACAATATAGAGCAATAAAAGAGTACCAACAACAAAATCCACAGGGGATTACATGAGTCTCATTTCTTCTTTCAACATTGATAGACCAGTACAAATATCAATTATTCTATTTATATTAGGATCATCAATACAAGTTCAAAATCCAAGAGCTCAGATGTTCTATACGAGAAGCCCAGCAACAGAAACTCATGTATATTTACCATTAGGATATATATATATATATATATCTCAAATCAAAGCGTAATACAATCATTTAAAAAATAAGAAAATAAAAAACGGAACCTCTGGGTACAAAACTTAAAAAACTGTAGACCTATTAGTCTATTAAAAATATAGTGGGAATAAAAGAAAAATAGATCCCCTACATATTACTACATAGTAATTTTTCTATAAATATTCTTTAGTGCCAGCTTAATTACACAATCACCAAAAACATTATAGGCCCGCCCATAAAAAAGACTCCAAATTTACGTTAATAGTATTAGCCCAAACCAAAATCTAAGCCCCATAAAGATATGATCTCCAATTTAAGCCCAAGAAAAAACATCCAACTCCAAACCAAATTGTGTTGCTCTGCAAATTGATGAAAAAATTGAGAAGCAACTTTTTTTGGCTTTTTTTTTTTTTGGTTAAAATAATGCTAAAAGATAAAATAAACTAAAATAATTAATAAGATAAAATGTCACATCAAATTCATAATCATTTTACTTTTTATCTCATAAATATTACATCTAACTGCAAAAAGATTTAACTATTTTTCTAAACATAAAAATTTTAACCTTCTGAAATAACTAAAAACTAAAACAATCTATTAAAATAGTAACTTTCCACAACAACACATTGTCTACGTGGTTTTGTTGTGATGGCGTCACAAAAACGTGAGCATGGATGATCCAGAGGCTCCAGTCAATAATACACGGGCGAAAAGAAGTCGCATTGGAGAATACGGTTAATAATTTTAGTTAAAAATCAAAAAAAATTATTATAAATTGTTCATTTTTTATATAAATTTTTATAAAAAATAATTAAATAATATAATATAACCGTTGTTGCTTCACGTGATCGAGAGAGAAAAATGAACGTAAGGTCTAGTCGGCCAGATTCGGTGCTAAAAAGTTAATTTTTTTGATTTTAAATATTTTTTTTTAAATATACAAAAAAAAATTAAAAAATTGATAAAAAAATTAAAAAATTAAAAAATTAACTTTTTAAAAAGTCTCGTTTGATAATATCAATTTTTAAGCTAAAAATAAAAAAGCCAACAATTTATACTAAAAAATCAAATATTCTATTTTTGCTTTACTTTTTACATATTTTTTCAAAAAAAATTAAAAATTTATTCTAAATATACTAACTTTTTTATATTATATTTTAATCAAAAAATAAAAAAATTACTTAAAAAATCTGTTGCCAAACCAAACTAATTGCGAAAATATGCCATAGTAGCCTGCTGTGCAATTTGCCAAGGTATTCAAGCCTCGGGAATGCCCATTTCACACTTCTCATTTCCATCACCACCGGTCAAAGGGTCTCTCTCTCTATCCATCACCCGTTCATCAATTTGAAGAAAAGAAATATTAGCTATTATGAAAAAAATTTATGAAAATAATAATAAAAATTTTGTAATCTTTAAATTATACTTATAATAAAGCATCACATATTAATTAAAATAATTCAAAGATCATAAATCTTTCATAATTATTTTCATAAATTTTTTTTTTTATGATCCCTAACTTTTTTCTTTGAAGAATAGATAAAAAACTATTTCAGTGTCAATTTGTGTTAGAAAATTGATCATTCCTCATCAGTACCGGTGAAACACAGAATAATAAAAACAAAATAAAAAAATCACAAATACAATAACACAAGAATTGAATAGAGTTATATTTACGATTATTGTAATTTTCATTATAATCAGAAAACGATTATAAATCTTTAAAAAAAAAGAGACGCCCCAGCTTTTATTTATAAGTATAGAAATTAAAGTACCGTAGAAGTAACAAAAAAATTACCAAAATGTCCAAAAATTTGGGCCAAGGTATCCCTGGACCCCTTTCCTCGGAAAGAGGCCCCCAAATCCACCTTGGATCCAAGGTCCAGAGTATAATACTTGTCAAGATCTAGGTGACGAATATGAAACTCAAAAGATTTTGTAACTTTGGTCTTTATAATTTTTTTTTTATTTATATTTATAAAAAAAATTAATTAATTATAAACAATAATTATTTTGGTAATTATTTTTTTTAAGAACTTGTAAATTGTTTACAATGCTTTTTTTCTTTATTCTTCGCCCACCCCACTAGCCACGGAGCGGGGGTCACTGCTGTGCCCCCTCTCTGCTGTGTTCTGCTGTGCCGTGAAACGGCACAGTTTCATCCCTTTTTTTTATTTTTTTTTATTTTAGAGTTTAGAATTTAGGATTTAGGTTTTAATTTTTAAAATTTATTTTTTTATTTTAGAGTTTAGGGATAATTTTTTTTATTTTTTTTATTTTAGGGTTTAGAGTTTAGGTTTAATCCTTAATTTTTTTTTAATTTTACGGAGATTAAAAATAATTTTTTGGCTTTTAATCTCTTTTAGATTATATCATTTTTTAATTTTTTTACATATTTTTTCAAAAAAAATTAAAAATTTATTCTAAATATACTAATTTTTTTATATTATATTTTAACCAAAAAATAAAAAAATTACTTAAAAAATCTGTTGCCAAACCAAACTAATTGCGAAAATATGCCATAGTAGACTGCTGTGCAATTTGCCAAGGTATTCAAGCCACGGGAATGCCCATTTCACACTTCTCATTTCCATCACCACCGGTCAAAATCTCTCTCTCTCTCTCTCTCTATCGCCCGTTCATCAATTTGAAGAAAAGAAATATTAAAGTATTATGAAAAAAAATTTATAAAAATAATCATAAAATTTTGCGACTTTTGAATTATACTTATAATAAAGTACCACACAGTAATTAAGATAATTTAAAGGTCATAAATTTTTCATGATT